TAAGTCTTTTTTTATAGGTAATCACTTACCAAGTATGGAATTTCAATAAATGTCGTATCCCAAATAGATATTTTGCCATAAGCATACTTTGATGTTTTAAACATAGTCGGAACAAGATTCGTTTCTGTTTTGGAAATATAAAATTTGCGCTTTATTGTATTCATTTCATCAAACTTGTGTAACCATTTACTCTTAAAGTAAATAGCATTTATTAACATAATTCTTGTATCTTCATCAATATCACCTGTTCAAAATAATTTAATTAATAAAAATGTTTTATAGTGTGTTAATTTATACTGAATTATTATAATCATCATGTAACATACTAGAAGAAATTATGTCAAGTATCTTATTATTTGTTGCTTTTTGAACCCATGAATTAATAGTTTCTACAGCAAGCTCGTTATTTTTGAAGTTTAATCTTGAAATTGAAGACTGAAATATATTTGTGCATATCGCTAAAAATTCAGCCATTAAATCAAATCCATCTTGAACATATATTTTATTTGCTATATGCAATTCAATGTTTTCAATGCCCTAAAATATATTTAAATGTATAGTAATTCTCTGAGAATTAATTATGTATAGGTATTATATATGTTTTCTTAACCTTACTTTCAACAAGAAAATCAGAGTTTTAAATTTATCATTTGCAGAAACTATATTGTCATAATGAAGAACAGATTTTAGCTCGTTCAATGTAGATCCTCCAGCACCATTAGAAAGTAAAGATAATATCATATGCAAGCTTAAAGGAGAAATTATAACGTTGCTGTCAATGTTGGTTGTTAAACTCTGAAATGACAAATTATAAACTAAAAAACTCTCGTATATGTAGTTTAGATGAAATATAAAAATATAGTGATTATATACCTTGTATAATGGAATCATAAAATTGTTACATGCTGTAGATAAGGTTTTAATATCATTTTGTTGTTCACCTGACATGTCTTGATAAGACGGTGCTAGTGCACTACCAATAATGATAGTAAATAAAACTATAAAGAAAAGTTGATTATAAAGTTGTAGGTTGCTGTTTTCAATAATCCTAAGAATTAATTGAAACATATATTAGGAAGGAATTTGTCAATATTTGATCACACACCGTTCCATGTCCACGTAAACATTCCGCCATGACGCTGTGCTTGCCACTTGGCCGAAATACTGCCGTGAAATAATTTCTCACATATACACGCACACGATACATACACGCACACACACACACACTCTCTCTCTCTCTCTCGTAAGTAAATATATTTCGAGTAAACAATTAAGAGAATGATTAACTCTATATTAATTATTAAACGCATTTTTATTTTTTTTCAAGTGCCATTGACTGGCATTGACTAATAGTCATTTTTAAATGACCAGCTGAAATCTTTTTAAAAAATTTAAAAATTAAAAAGTTTCGATTAAAAAAATAGAAGTACGTATTGTAACGTTTATATATATATATATAATTCAATTTTAATCGAGTTTTTCCTTCTCTAGGATAGGTTAATTAGCATTAATAGCTATAATAGCATTAGGTAGCATAGGTATAATAGCATTTAGATGCTATTTATGTTGAACTTGCGTCAACTGTTAATTCTAATATACAATGAATATGTACTGTCAGTAGTCTACGATAGTTCTAATCAATCCTAAGTCTTATCCCTAGTGAATCGATGAAATTGGTCAACAATCAAATTGTACAATCAAATTCGACTTTATTCCTTCACATTAGTCGAGTTACACAATTAACATACTTGTAAATGTGAAAAATCATAATCATCACCACTGCGGTTAATTGACTAAGATTTCCAACTACTGACTCATTGATAGAATCAGCTTTAAACGAAACTATAATATCTTACGGCAGATAATTTTAAACCAATAATATTAGCTCAGCAAACGAGAATGGATTGAAATAAATTGAAATAGATTCAGATGTTCAGAAATATTGATTCACGAATGTTAAAATGAATGCTTTTCAATCTGAATGCATTTTTATTCATTTATGGGAATTGCATGGAGCATATCTCTATGCCTTTCAATCTAAAAATAATATTAGCTTTTTCCGTGCACATTGTGAAAACTGTTCAATTTACTGTTCAAAATTTTGAATAGGAAATGCAGTTTTTCAATCTAATTGCATCCAATTGAATCTAATTGAATTCAATTAAATCCCAAAAAAAGTATTTAAAATATTTAAAATACGCTATTTAAAATACGCATTTGGATAGAAAAAAAATTTCAATTTATTTTAATTTATTCTTATTTACTGGGAATTTTTCATTTTCAGAGAATCTGGATCCATATGAAATTTCCAGAACGCTTACGATATGATCTTGTCTTTTATTTCCCTTCAGTCTTATTGCGAGAAAAATTCTAATTTCTTAAGGCGATGAAGTTTATGTGATCAATAACAATATAATTCAGCAAACTTTGTAATAATAGCAATGAATTAACATTAAAATAACACAATAATCCTTTGAATACACAAAGAGTAATGTATATATATTTGTGTCGTCTGCAAGTTCGGCAAAAAAATTGTATGCATATGTTTGGTAAAATTGTAGGGTAAGTAACTGTAAATTGTTATATAATGCATATGCATATAATAATTAATACGTGCTTATTATACATATAGATTTTTTTTCTCTTGTATGTATCTCTGTTCGTAAGATAAACTTGCGTTAAGACGGCCATCTTTAAAGTGCAAAAAGCATACTGTATGTAATTTCTGTTATCTTTAATAAGTAATGCTTCTGTATGGCGAAAAAGATATACCAAAATATAGCACTACTTATTAAAGATAACAAAAATTAATATGTTTTTTGCATTTTAAAGATGACCATTTTACTCAAGTTTACCTTATATACAGAAAAAAATAATAAAAAGAAAAATTGAAAAATACGAGTAATTAGGATAAATTTCGTATTTTTTATGTAAATAAAAAAAAAACAAAATTTGTGAAAATGAGAAAAAACTATCTATATATATTATATATACATTATATATAATTTATATCAATTATTTAATATTATATAATGCATAAAATATAATATTGTGACCTTTTATTTTTCACTTTTACCTTCGGTCAAAAAAAAAGTAAAATATTGCATAAGTTACTTTTCTTATCATTTTTCAATTATTTTTCTTATTATTTTTTTCTTCAAATATAGATAAAATAAATATAAGAGAAGGAAAACACGTATACATATAGGTATATTTTATATTTATTATTATATATTTATATATGGTGATATAATTTTTTTTTAACGAGTAATCATTCGCGTTACGTACTTTAACTTACGTATATATCTTAACTTGGCTGTAATATCTTCAGTATTCTGAAGATAAAAGAGAGACGAAAGATTATTAAGATTGGAAATTGAAAGTAAAAATTCGTACTACCAATCTTAATGGAAACCATGGAAGATCATCGTCAATTTACACCGGTGTGATGATTGGTTAATTAATGTCGTTAACAGTGTCGATATACAGTCGATAGATTATAGATTTATACGCAGTGAGATTCGTGTACTTACTAGTGGATTTTCTCTATTCTAACGGCAGTATACACCCACCGTAATAGTCTGATCTTTTTGTCCCAATATTTGCGACTCAAAATACCACAAAAAAGTTTTCGAAAAATTAAGTAAAAAAAAGTTATTTATAAATTTGTATTATTATACGTCTAGTTTAGGTGATCACCTGTGAACGCACTGAAGTGCTCATCAGCGCTTACTAATATAGGTACTATATCGTATGCGCGATCAACTCATTGACATTGACATGTATAGCCATCCAAACGTAGTCTATAATTGGCTATATTTAAACTTATATTATCTAAATAATTACTGCTTAAAATAAAACTTTACAAATAACTTTTCTACTGAATTTTTCGAGAACTAATATCTTGTTACAGTACTTTAAGTCGCAAATTTTGGGACACCCTATATATATATATATATATTGAGCCAAATATATAGGTAATAATTTAGCAGGTAGGCTTAAGTTCTATTCTACCAACGAAATAACTGAGTAATATCTCGAGATTCTATATTTAAGATCGTACGCATTCGAAAGAGTGAGTGAGAGAAACAGAGACGTTAGTTCGTTTTTTACTAAATATATTTTAACTTTAAGTGAGACGCGCAACAGGTACTTCTGAAATTTTAATTCCCTTTAACTTCATAGGCATAAAAATGATATTGATATATGTAAAGAAATAAAAAAGGAATTTCGCTTTTTAATCTTTAAGAGAATTAAAGAGAATTAAGACCTTAAAAAATGGGGTAACAATTTTGGGCTACTCTTTGCATCACATGATTATAAATTTAAAAGTTGCGCCTTGGAAAAGATATGTATATTTGTGAAGGTGGGGGTATTATTCGCGATAGCAGGTTTGTGTCGGTTTAGCCTTGGTCTGTCTTGCTCTCAGCTTCGTTCTAGCCGGATTCACGGAAATGAGTGAGACTTGTACGGCCTAATAAAAGTTTCATAAACGTTTTATTGATAAGGAGGATTTTATTGTCAGGTAAAGATTTGAGAATAATTAAACAAGTGTGGACGACTGATATCGAACGTGGACAACTTTGCCCAAAATAGAATAAATTCTTATTAATCGCTACATCCCCATTTGCTTCAACTTCTTTGATTGTTTTCATTGCAAATCGTTTTAATTGTTGAAATTTCTATAACACAAATTCCCAAGTTACGATTATGTGTGCGACTCCCTGCTGTGATAATACAAGTATGAATAACTTCTGATATTTTGTAACAGCAAATATGTATATAAATAGCTAATTGCGAATGTCGTGTGTACTCCTAGCGGAAGATAAAGACAGACGGATGTTAGAACAAAACGGATGCAAAAGCAAAAGACGACTAGTCGAACGTGACGCTGCGTTTACGCTGAAGCTATATTCACGAATTATTTCTCGTGAAACAAGCCGAAGAATTCTTTGCGAATCAGGCTGAAATTAAACAAAGTCGTAACATACATTAGCAAGATGATCATATCGGTCACAAAATTGTCACCGACAATTATACGTATAAATGAAGGGGAATGACCAAAATCGTGCATCGTCCCAACCGACGAGATACGGATACATCACACCCCACAAGGCATTTAAAAAACACTCCAGATTATCACATTGTCTTCGTTAAAGAGATTTAGTTTCAACATCGCGCAACAGGAGGCCAAAATTAGTTGAGTCGTGAATAACACAACGAATGAAATTCAATTGATGCTCGTAAGTTTTTCGGTGCGTGATCGAGCGTGAATCGCGCAGACGAGGCGGCGCGATTTTCTTAGTTTCTCCATTTCGGCAGGATGCAGCGCAGTCGATCTAACGATGAAACGCAATTTCGAAGATGCGGGAGGCAAGGGTGACTGCGTGCTTCCTGGGACGAGAAGATCGATAGAATACATGCGCGCCCGGCCACGTCGCGACGCGCACGAGTTCTCTACGCAATCTGTGTTCTGCGAACGTCTGCCTTGGAGTTGTGCGTTTTTTCGCGAGGTGCGGTCGGGCGCTTTGTGACGGTTTGTGACGCTTGCGACGCTTGCCATCAAGTCGTACCGTCGACGAAACGTCCGCGAAACGCGTTAAGCTTCCTATCAGTGCTATCGGAACATCACGCATCGCCGTCCGCGACGGAATTAATATCTATCAGCGCACACTGACCTAGAAACGCTAAACTTTACGGGACGTCATCGTTGACATCGTTTGTCACCCTCCCCCCCCCTGATAACAGATCCGGTGAGTCGATTTTTTTTCGGCTGGCCTGTTAAGAGTCACCGTACATAATCAGGAATAATTGCAATTAAAGTCATTCTAACAGAAAGTAATGGTAATCGCTAGTGGGGGACGATTCATACAGACGCGTCTCTAGAATTTCATCACCTGTGATCGCAATTACTATTACTCGTCGATGCTATTACTCGTCAATCGGCACATTATACACTGACCGGCACCGATCACGCTAATTACGTTAACGCGCGACATTCGTAATCTCTATTTATAACCGTGAAATAACATTACGCCTGTAGCGTTTCTCGCGCACGCCACGCTCTGTTATTTCGACATACATTCACGCGCACATCTTTTACATTTTTCATTTTATCTGTGCTTCTCCGTCTATCCAGACACATTTATACAATCGCAATATTACTGCACAAATGTTTCCGATTAATTGCGTAAATACTTACGGAATTAATATACATACAATGTCTGCGAAAACATAAATATTATTAAATGTTATATCAACGCGAATACTTTGAAAATCAACTTCATTATTGAATCGAATATTAAATATTAAATATTAAATATAAATTCTTATTATATCAAATGTGAAATATTTGTCACGATACGTCTCGATTGTGCGTTCCGTAATTTGTAGTGCACAAGTCTCTTTTCCGACAATAATAAGTGAAAATGTTGCGTGCTAAGACCTAGTAATCATTATTTGCATTTTTAATGCTAATTATATGTAAAATCGTAATGTATAGAGAGAGAGAGAGAGAGAGAGAGAGAGAGAGAGAGAGAAATCCAATAACTTGTATTATATATAATAGCAAAAGTGATAACTCGATACATTTAAAAATGCGTAATAAATATAATTCGTATCGTAAATGCAACGAGTTATCATTTTTGCTCTTACGTATATATTTAAGAACGTATAATAAGATGCTAGTCTCTTTTCCTTTTATTATCGATTCGTTATGATCTTTTGATACATATAAGTGAAACTTTTAATTGCGGATGATTATAGTCGTAAGTAAAGCTAACCACTAATAGCTGATGCTATTGAGTAAACAAAAATTTAATTGAAAATACGTGATTAAATCTTATCATGACGGTCTTTGCAACGACTTTATCATATATTACTAATAAGACTACCGTTTGAAGAAATGAATATCGTGACTCGAGGTATTCGATCTCGATATATGTCATTCAGCAATATATCGGTGGTAAGCCGGAGAAAGAACTTGTGTATAATGAATGGGAACGCAACAGTTGGACTGCCTATGCATCGATATTGTCCAGCGATAGACGAGACAAACAATAATACATATATATCTCTTATAGTTGCCGTAGAAAAAAATAGGTAGCCTTAGATTTTTCCAAGAGAATAACTATGTCATTTAAATTGTGAAAGATCGTGAGTAACAAAATAATTTCAATTTTAATTAACTTTTTTTTCAACTTTGACCATCACAAATAATATGTATAAATAGAGATATAAATGCTGCTCTTGAATTGTAACAACTGACGCACTTGATTAAGTAGATATCTATACTGTAAATTTTCGTTTCAGTAATTACGATGCAAGCGGAGAAGAGTGATACCGACACTGAGAAAAACGAGACCCTCAACGATGTAACAACCTCGGTTGCGAATGAGGTGACAAATTTGAAGATAGAAGATGGTTCAACGAGTTCGACACCGAGTAGTCCTGGTAGCACTGAACCAGGTAGCTTTTTAGCGAGCTTTAAAGCGTTCTCGAAATTCGGTGATCCAAAAAGCGACGGCAAACTGATTACGTTAAGTCAAAGTGACAAATGGATGAAGCAAGCGAAAGTGATCGATGGAAAGAAAATTACTACCACCGACACGGGAATTTACTTCAAAAAGCACAAGTATATCTTTTAAAAAAAATGTTCTTTATGTCTGTTATCTTGATAAATTTATTTTCTTGATAAACTGCATGGGAAATTTATTCTTACATTTTTTTTCTTTTTTATTGCAGATCCACAAAGCTCGGTATCGAACAATACAAAACGTTTCTTGAAGAATTGGCTAAAAGTAAAAAAGTGGAATTAGCGGAAATAAAGAAGAAGATGGCTAATTGTGGACCACCTGGGTTTACCGGGGGCGCTAGTGGAGTACGTATATTATTTATTTAATTTTATATTCTCTCTTTCTCTTTCTAGCATCTCAAAATGTAATAAATTTTACTACATAAGCCTTTACTACAGTTAGTTTTTCCTTATTTGTACAAATTCATTTTCCTTTTAATCGTTGACTTAATCACGATTTATATTATCATACAATGTATATCTCATCGTGTGATTCATCGCGATGTACATATGAATCAACAGTGTTTTTTCATGTAATTTACGCGCATAATCTCTGATTTGCTCATTTTGATTTACAGGTTGGAAAAGCAGCGTCAACAATTGATAGACTTACCGATGTCAGCAAATATACCGGTTCTCACAAGCAACGTTTTGATGAGACAGGAAAAGGTAAAGGCATAGCAGGTCGAAAGGATATAGCAGACACATCCGGATACGTTCAAGGCTATCAAAATAAAGATACGTATAAAGGCCAGTAGTACTCATCTACTCTAATAATAAATATCTTTAAAATCATGCTGTTAAAATCGCGTCTGAGCGCAGTATGCACATTCAAATAATCGCTACTCGTTGTTAGCGAACTGAATTTCTTTACTGTTTCATCAGCGATCTGACAGATGTATCTTGAATCTCAATTTCACAAAATTTCATCTTTGAAATGTATACTAAGATAGCAATATCGTAATTAAGAACTTTTGGCAAAATAATATGTTTGAAACTTTTGGCAAAATAATATTTTTGAATCTTTTGTTCTTGATGTTAACATTGCATTTTTCGCATATAAATTTTCCGATAAAAGGCCTGAAAAAATACAGTTTCCCTAAATATTGTTCTTTTCAGTCTATATTTTGTAATACGATTGTGTGTTATTTTTACATATTTTCATTGTTATTTGTTCGATTTAATTATCATTATATGATACCAATATTATTAGCTTATAGCTTTTTATTTGTTTATTTACTTCATTAATAAAGTATTTTTTTTTTTTTGAGAGAGAGTAGCAATTATATAGTATAACTATATGTAAGTACGCAGTCTTAAATCCACATATATACTATACATATACAGCATCATACTATATGTATATAGCATATGTTACATAATTTCTGTTGCATAATTTATTAAGAATGAATTTCCTAAGGTTTATATGATTAAACAAAAAAAAAATAGATATTATAAATTTCATTACAAAGCATTACAACTGTGTATGAAAACAAAATTATATCTTGTATTTTATATTCTGCACAAAAACTCTTTCTCTTTCGAATTGTTAATTTTTGAAGTAGAATAATGC